GGGCGGGGCGGGGGGGGGGCGGACGGTGAATAGTGAAGGGGCAAGGGACCCAGTTGTAGGGCCCTTAATGAGTTGTGTGGTGCTGCCCTAGAACATCCAAGCTGAGCCACCTCTCCAGGCCTGGGTGAGGGCAGTAGGCTACAGAGCCCAGGACTCCCCTGGTGACAAGGCCAGCAGTTCAGGTTGGCTCTGCCTACTGAACTCTCTCAGAAGGGGCTGCACAACCATTGAGCACACCCCCACGTATATTTACAGGTATGGAAACAGGCTATTTTCTGTATGGCACTGTCTTCCATTCACATCTGCCTTCCTGTGGTCACTTTGTGTAGGGATGGGGGTGTGGCTCTTGAGGAGGGGTAAATATGCTGGACAATGGTCCCCCCATCTGATGAGTCTGTGTTGCATTTCTTTCTCCTGTTGAGCATCTATTGCTTGTAAGAAGCCATATCCCTGATGTTCCCCAGCATCTTTTTTAAATTTTTATTTTAAAATTTATGCACAGTAAAATCCACTGCTAGGTTTAATTTTTTGAGAACAGTGTGAGGAGATCAGAGGGTCTCCCTTCATTCGGTGATCTAGCTCAGAGACAGAGCTTCCTGAACTTTCCTTGCAAATTAATGCAGAACAATGCAAAGGAGGAGCAGGGCCAAGGGTCTGTGCGCCTCTCCCACCCCACCCCAGGAGGACTGAGGCCAGGTTGATCTTTTAGAGGACAGGCCAGCTTGGCTCCCATGGGACACTCCCCCAACCCTTTCCCGGAGCCCAGGACCCTAACGGTATGGGAATCCTGACTGTCCGGTGGCCCTGGCCAAGTGATCCTGTCTGGTCAAGCCCTGGTACTCAGGACGAGCTCAGAGCAAGCAGGAGGTGTGTGTTTGGCTCTTGCCTGCGGATGATGCCATGGAGACTGTTCTTGTCCAGACACAAGCTTGTTATGTTAGCCTGTCACTTCTGTGGGGCTGGGTGGGAGGGAAATTTGCCTTGGGCCTGGAGAGTGAGTCTGGGTGGGTGGCAGGAAGATGGAGAAAGGTCAAAGGTCAGAGTTCACATTTATCCACTGTAGGCTGCTGAGTGAAACTGTGTTTGCTACTTCAAGCAAAGTTGGAAAGGGCTGATGGTGTGTTTTCTAGCAAGGACACCAGGCTGGAGGGTGGCCCAGTTACCCTGATGCCAAACGGCAAGGGCATGACTAGACTCTACTGGGGTTGGCCTAATATCGTCCAGTCCAGCCATGGCACAAGCAACCCCCACAGAACCAGACTGGGGGTGGGGTACCCCTGTTCCTCACCCCCATTGCAGCCACCACAGGTGCCATGCTACACCTAGTTCAGAATTTGGTCCCCCCGGTCCTAGGGGTCATGGTGTCCTCTCCCCTGTCCACCTTCTTCTTTGGTGCCTACTGACTGCCCCTTCTCTCCCACCAGCGTTGGTAACAACAGGGCCTCATCCTCCCCAAGATGCCCATCCCTCGAACCTTGGTGGCCTGTGACCAGATGGGTGACATCCAGGTCTGGAACCAAGCGGGGTGGGAAGACTATCAGCTGGGTAGGATTAAGCCCTTTATTTTTGGTGTCTGGTGGCCAAAGCAGAGCTTCTGGTTGGATCCTGTGGGGAAGGGGATGGGGCAGCAGTGGGCCTAGAAGTTCCAGTTCTCCATGCGCCCCAAGTGGGTACAGAGCTGGCAGGGCAGCAATTCTGTGTGTGGTTGCATCAGACTGACCTGGAGCTCGGTCCAGCTCTCAGGACCACTAGCGTGTGACTCTGGCAGGGGGCCTGGTCACGCCTGACTGCAGTGGCCTGTGTGAATGCCGGACGTGGTGTGGTGGGCCTCTGGGTGCTTGGTTCACAGAGTGCCTAAGGTGCTGGCCAGTGTGCGCCCCACCCTGCGGGGCCCTCTGCGCAGAGAACTAGGCTGCTTCATCACTCCACTCATCAAACTGAACTTCTTTATTAAGTGCCAAGGATCCAGGCGGGTGCTGCCACCTGCAGTCCCCTCTGCTGAGGCCTGTGCTTGTTGCGTTCCCCAGGAGCCAGAGTCTCCAACACCTGGGACCTGCGGGTGATTCCGTCTCTATGAGCGGCAGGCCGGCAGGCCCTGGCTCCCGGAGAGCAGCGGGCGTGTGAAGCGGTTTCCAGCTTGTAGTGTGGCCGCCGGTCACTTCACGTGCTCGGCAGCGTGCGAGGAACAGTAATACTTCTTGTGGGCGATGAAGGTGGACAGGCTGCTGAACTTGATGTTGCACAGGCGACAGTACCTGTGGTTGCCGTTGGGCAGGGAGGCCGGCGTCCCCTTGCTGGGGGTCTGGACGCCCTTGTCCGAGTGGGAAGGAGGCGTCGGCGGGGCTGAGGGCGGGCCGGG